CAATTGCCAAAGAGACGATTGCCAAATACTCAGAGTCGCCACTGAACCACTTTGAAAAATTGTGAGAAAACGAAATAAACCATTAGTGAAAAGCTGTTTTCTTTTTTCTTACTTTTTGGGTCATGCAATAGCTTCGGTACAGTTGGCTGGCGTTCCGTCAGTTGAACGAGCAGAAGCTTTTGGACGAGATGGAACGGAATGTAAGCTTGAAGGTGAAGAGTTTGCCGAAGAACTTGATGATCGAGTGCTTGATGGTGTTTGGTGGAGGAACTTGTGCATGAGTGCGAAGTCAGCACGTAAACTTGTGCCGTCAGTATTTCGATGATAACGTCGACTACCGACGCTTCCTTGTGTCAATGGACGGCGTTTCAGCTGAGCTGCAGTTGTAGCTGCTGTTGGGGATTGCTGAGATTCCTGGGATCGACTGGAGAGACAAGTGGTGATAGGGATGCTGGCGGTGAAGGAATCGGATCGATGTCTGCTCCGATCTCGAGTTCCTAAAAGCGATAAACGGCCGAGACTGATCTTGCCGATATTTATGTGCGTTGAGTCGCTGGTCGGTGAAGCACTTAACGGGTCAGAGAAATCGCCTTCTCTAGTTCGTCGGAAACGCTCTCCTTCACGCCACATCTGTGACTGCATTTGACCAAGAAACAATTGCCGTGCCATTGGGATTTTTACGGGTAGGCAGAACTGAAGCCAACCGATTGCTTCATCTGATGTGAAATTCGAGTGTTTCATGAGGTAACAACCAATGCAAGTAGCAGCCGACACACAGCCAGAATCATTCGAGGTACTCACGGCGATCAAGCCTTCCGTGCCTTCACAAGCTTCCAGGAATCTATTCACTAGTCTCTGATCCGATGGAAGGAGTTTATCACCAATGGGTAATGCAGATGGAGAAGTGGTAGGAGATGAAATGTCCAGTACTTCCAACCCTTGTGCGGTAAAAGTACTGACGTTGCTGTGGGTTTTGCCTAATATCACCAGAAGGGATATCCTTCGACGCTTCAAGGCTAAAATGGAATCTCCCTCCTGCTTCGTATCATCAATTGCATCCCCACTTTCGCCAAACGATGTGCTGTATACGATAAAGCGGCGCGATACTGTTCGTAGATTTGGTTCATCGTCACTCTGCTCTCTGATAGAATCCCGTGCTGAGCCCAGGAGTTTCTTTTCCAAACCTTTTGCAATTCCTGCAAGTGATACCAACAGATTTGGCGGGTCAAGTAGCTCAGCTGATGACAAGAATGACGATAAAAGATAGGGAAGATGCTCGAAGGGGGCCAGCGCTTCGCTCGGCGGTAATTGAAGATACAAAAGCCGCCATCGGCATATGAGGTGAATCACTTGAATTTCTTCTCGAAGGTGCCGCCTTCGTAAGAAAAAATAGTGCACATTTTTGGGTCCAACATCTGCCGATTGCGTCTGTACTTGGTCTTCAATGGTTGTGGTAGAATTCAAAACACTCGTGAGAAACGCGTTAAAACGAATTGTCTGTGAAATTCCGAGATAGGATTCGCTAGGAGGAAGCTGCTCTCGAAGTGATATGAAGTGAATGCCTGGTGTTCTCGGGAAAATATGCCGTTCCGAGGTTGATACTGAGTTTGGTGTGTAATGGTTTGTGTCCCTGGTACGATGGATAGAGCAGGTTGTTCGCTCATGAATCACCACAAGATAAAATCGTCGGGGGAAAATCTCGATTGGAGCAGGTGAAAGACCAGTTCGACGCCTCATGCCGCCACGACGGATGAAATCCTTGAAAGACCGGAATAACAGCAATTTAGAGTGATCAACGCAGCATGAGCTGGCAGTGCCAATGAAGTCGATTGGGCTCCAAAGTGGCAGCTTGACGGCAGTTTGCCAGTCTAATGCTGGTAGAGCCTAAAAATACTGGGGCGTCAAACGGAATCAAAAAAATGCTCATACCGTCGGTAATCGCGGAAGTGAAGAAGAGTGAGACTCTGAATAATGTCGAGCTTGGCTCCATTACTGACCCCGCTTTCGAAGAAACAACGGGGGAAAGCCAAGAAATACATTGCTGTCGACCAGTTCAATGGTGGCGTTAGTCCTTACCTGCCCCTGGCACATAGCCATTCACGGACGAAGAAAGCTAAGAAAGATGGCGGAAGAAAGGGCCCTAGAGTGGTGAATTCCAAGCTTGCCTGTCAGTTTGAAGAGGCCATGAGGAGACGCGACTTTCGACAGGTTCTGTGGATGATCACCAATGGTGACATTCCTGCCAACTATGAGACGAAAACTGGGGAAACGGCGCTACTTGCTGCTGTGTCTGCGAAGAATCTGGATGCACTCGCAATGTTGATGACAAGGTACGTTTTGGGTTGTGGTATTGATTGTTAGATTGGATGAGTAATGACGAGTTTTGCTGATACAGTGGGGTTTCCATCGATACTCCTAACCGAAGAGGATACACACCGCTGATGAAGGCAATCGCCGTTGCTGTACCGCAACACAGGTCTGCAACCAAACAAGTGTCGGATATCTCGGTATTATCGAGCAACAATATCGAAGAGCTGGAAAATACAAGCGCTTCTGTGAATGATGTCAAACCTGGGATTTATGACAACGATATTGTCGCGAGTGTCCTGGAATATGATCCGATTTTGATTCAAGCGGATCAATCCGGAAGAACCGCGTTTGACTGGGCTAAACTCACAGGGAACACACAAGCGTTTAAATGGTTGGAGAAACGGCAGCATGAGAAATCCCTAAAGTATCAGAGTTCCGCAAACCGTCAGGAACGAGTGGCCCAATGTCAAGAGCTTTTGAGTTTCCACGAAGAATGCATTCAACGAATTGAAAGCTTGATTGCACCTCAGTTTTTCAATGAAGATGAGTTGGTAAAGTTTCTGAAGACAACGACGATAACAGCAGCCGAATTCACTAAAGCCTTTGATGATCTCAAGGCAATGGACAACACTCCGAGATCTTTACCGTTCCGATCGCAATTCTATGTCAATATCGAAACACGAGAAGGGTGGACGCCATTAACGAAATGTGCAGCTTTCGGCTACGTTACTGCAGTCCAGGAATTGCTAGCAATGGGTGCTGACCTTCAATACGAGACGAGACTTCGGCATACTGCTATGACATGGGCATCCTATTGTGGACACGAAGCTGTGGCTTTGCACTTACTTCGCATTGGAGTGGACGTGAACCAAAAGACACGAGATGGTAAAACTGCCTTGATGCATGCAATCAGCAACTCACAAGTCAAGATTGTGCACCACCTACTTATCGCTACTCGTGACGAGTGTTTCCCAGCGCAACCAATCGAGTCGTTCTCCACTGAAGTTGATCCAAATATGCAGCTCCAATCCAAGATTAAAGCTCGTATTTCTGCTCGAAAGACAATGGAGCACAAATCCATCGAAATTGAATGGCACAAAACGTTCTTAAAGAAGATGAAATGGCAGGATCAAACTGGTAAAGACGCTCTTAAGTTGGCACAGTATGCTGTGGAGCAAGCAGAGGAGGTTTACACTGAGTTACACGATGAATCGAGTTTATATCGAGAAGAAGAAGTACACCCAGCGATTCAAGTTCTCCGACAAGTTCATACTGCGATCAAAGAAGCAGAAGAGCACAAGAAGTACGTCGAACTACACGCAGAGCGCACGAAACTCACAACGTGTCACAATGATGGCTGCAGTTTTGCGGCTCCTAAGGATGTTCTGCCAACACACGAGCAACATCATTGCTCGAAGCGCACAATCAAGTGCGATAATTGCGATGCTATCTTGATTTTTGAAGATCGAGGTCATCATGACGCACAGTTGTGTCCTATGCGGCGTGTACAATGCACTAACTTTCAGTATGGATGCCAAGAGCAAATCCTCTATCGAGACAGAGAACACCATCTCAACCATCATTGTCGAAAGCGGGCGATGGAATGTCGTCTCATGTGTGGAGCTACGGTACATTTTGACAAGCTGGATGAGCATGAAAGCGCTCGATGTCCCTTGCGAATAGTTAAATGTGATCGAGGGTGTCAAGCGAAGTTTACTGCAAATTTTGCCAAAAATCATCGACTTCACGAGTGTCCGAAGAGAATGGTCTCGTGCAAGGGGAAGAATGGAGGCTGCGGTGTACTGGTGAAGTACGATGAAATGGATTTTCACTTATCTAAGTTGTGCGAGCTGAGAGAACTCGCGTGCAAGTGGGCCTCGTATGGCTGTGAAGAAAAGATCGCTGGAGTTGCAGCAGCTCGGTACAACCACGAGACCCACGAGTGTCCATTTCGCTTTGTATCTTGTCGCAACGGATGTGAGTTGAGCGGACAGTTTTTGGCTTGTTTTGCTGAGGAGCATTACCGTTGGCAATGTATGCTCGAAAAAACGCCTTGTCCGAATGAATGCCACGATGAACTGACAGGAGAAATATTGCAACTTCCTAGACACTTAATGATGACTCACGTGTTACAGAATGTTGGCGACTGTCCCTTAAGAAAAGCGCATTGTCCGCTAGATTTGTGTGGCAAGCACTTTCGACTGTTTGAAACAGATGCAGCTTTGGAGGGTGAAGATGACAGTTGTGGCAAACTGGAAAACAAATCAATCAGTTTGAATGCCATGCAACAACACATCAACATGTGCGATGTGTTTCTAGGCAAAATTCAGGGTTTGCAGCAACAATCTGCATCAGACCTGAGTGAGGAATGGATTCTGAACATTTTCGAGAAACCAGACACGGTGAAATTCCTCGTGGATTGGTTGCAAAGCATTCGCGCCAAGCTACAGCAGACTTACACTGAACTCAAGTTACAGAAGGACATTTCTTCACATGTTTGCCGCATTTTGACGTTCGATCCAAGTAAATCCCAACATTTAGTTGAGTTTTCGAATGGCCACTCGACGTGGATGTCACTAGAACAGCGTGAGTGTGATATTGTACTTCCTAACGATGTCGATGCGATGGAATCATGTCTTCAGTACTTTCGCTGTGGTCTTTTACCGGCCCAAACGCTAGGAACGCACATCGACGAGGATTGCTGCCATCGTTTAGTACCTTGTCCACTCAACTGTGGGCAACGATTTCCAGCACATACGCTTGAGTTTCACGTGGTAAAGCGCTGCAATATGCGCAATGCCTCCTGTCGACTTGGATGTGGAGAAATCATGGCATTCGGACGTCTATCGGAACACGAATCGGATCATTGCGAATTTCGATCTGTCTTTTGCGAGTATTGCCATTTATCTTTTTCCGTGAAAAATTTGGGAATGCATCTGGACAAGGAATGCCAGCAATTACCTCGACGTTGTCGATTTGGCTGCTCATCTAAAGTTGCATGGGCTGAAACTAAAGAACACGAGTCAAGTCAATGTCCTAAACGTCTAGTAAAATGCAGAATTTGTGATGAAGATGTTTGGTTCTGCGAGCGGGATCGTCACGAAAAAGATGAATGTCCGCTGCGAACTTATGGAAAATGTGACGACGGCTGCGGACAAATGCTACGCTACAACGAAATTGCGCACCATCTTCTCTTCAGTTGCGCAAAACGAACTGTTGAATGTAAAGAATGCAAACAACGAATGAAATTTAATTCTCTTCAAGAACATCATGAACTTCGCTGTCCACAACGAGTAATAACCTGCCGGAAAGGGTGTGGAGTGTGCATAAAGGAGCTCGACATCGACACACATGAGAGCGAAGAATGCACCAAACGACTGCTATTTTGTGAGAATCAGTGTGGACTGCATGTTCCATACTGCGAGTTGGAAGACCATTTGAAGTCAAAATGCACAATGCGAGTCATGATGTGTCCTACGGGCTGTCGTGAACTGGTATTTGCGTATCAGTATGAAGACCACTGGAAACGCTGTCGACAACGCGTTGTTCCCTGTGGTGTAGGCGGGAAATTGTGTGCTCGTCCTATTCGTGTCTGGCACATGGGGAACAAACTAGTGCGTTGTGCTGTCCACCGCGAAAACGCACTTCTCTGGGCTCTGAAATCCCAGGATTTGGATCTTGCAACTTATTTATTGCAAAATGTCGATGCTTTCAACGTGGTTAATGAAGAATTCGCGAATGGTTTCTCTCCTCTAGTACTCGCAGCGTCATTAGGGAACGTTGACCTAATTCAACTTCTACTTCGCTTCGGAGCAGACGTGAACTTGGAAACGTCTCGTGGCAGAACTCCACTATCAGAAGCTTGTATGGCTCTGGACGTGGAGATCGTCAAGTTACTGATCGATAATCGATCAAGTGTTACGCACACTAATAGACAAGGTAGAAATCTCTTGCAAATGGTTCGTGCATTTGCTGACTCCGAGAATTCGTCTAGCGAGGCGTCAGATAAAGTATCTAAGTGGAAGCAGATCATTCATTTGCTGGAGGAACAGGAAGCACTCGAACGTGCCCAGTGCGACCTGTTTATCGCTATCGCCAGCTCTAACTACGACCATTTAATTCAATGTTTCAAGTATTCTGCTAAAACACCGAGTCATGTATTTCCTACTTCAAACCCATTGGAAACACTACAAGAGCTGGTAACCGAGAAAGAAAAGCAAGCAAAAGCTGTGCGTGCAGAATTGGATGAAGCCATTCACGTGTTCAATGAGAGCATCGCTGAAACGGAGGCCAAACGTGTCCAAGCTGTTCAATTATCCTCTCAAGTCGACGATAGTTGTCGACGACTACAGAACGTGGAGAAAGCCGAAGAAGCGTCCGACATCGACTCAAGTGCTCTTGAAGCTGACATGCTAGCTATGATCCGTCAGATCACAGCACAAGACATCGCACAGCTGCTTAATTCCCACGTTCCGTCCGATACGTCATTAGTAGTAGTAAAAGCACTCTCGCTGTTGTGTGGAGTAGTTCCTCGTGGACGACGGAATGCGACGGAGTATACTGACGTCGAATGGTGGAAAACCGCCCAAGCTTTGCTCATGGATCGTAGTCTGCTGCGTCAACTGCGTGGCTATCGACAACAAACTATTTCGCCCGACGTCATGGCCAAAGTCCGTCGTGAATGTTTGAAAACACCCGCGTTTGCTGTTTGCTCGGCGGAATTTAAGGCGAATCGTGCGACTTTCAACACCGAGTCTGGAGAGCGTAGTATGAATAGTCGAATCCCTCCAGCCGAGACACTGCGTGGTAATATCATAGGGATTCTAGCGACGTGGGTCCAAGGCGTTGAGCTTGAGTACAGGGCTCGAGCAGAACGTCAAGTGCTCGAGGAGCGTAAACGCCAGCTCGAAGTTGCTCTCACTGTGGCACGTGAAAAGCAGCAACATTCTAGCTTCGAAGCTCAAGTGGGGGCTCGGTCTCTTCCAGCTCGACAAGAAGAAGTCGAAGCTGTTCGTGTTCAAAATGACATTGCGGAAAAGGAGTTGGAGGTGGCTAAAAAGCGTTTAAGCACCTACAAACTACTGAACTACGCAGCTCTTAGTGGCCATACGCCACTGACTTTCGCGTGTGCTGTGGGAAACGAAGCCATTGTTCACATGTTAATTTCGCACGGTGCCTGCAGTGGCCACCAGTTCGAGGAGCAAAACTTATGTGCCTCCTTCATCCAAGCACTTGTGCGTGATTTTCAGTATCGAAAGCAATTTGAACGCCAGCGACGTCTCCAAGAACTGAGTGGAGGGGGGATCAAACCTCGATCTGATGCAGCTACTGAAGCACTTGTAAGGAATGTAGCCCACGCGTTCATTGTCGGTCACTACAAACGCAAACTCGTACATTTTCGACAGACCCACCGAGTTGCAATCCACGAAGCAATCATCAACGGATATCCCGAAATTGCAGCAATTTTACTGTCGAAAGAAGCGAAACTATGGCAAAAGACGTATGTGTTACCCGAACGGGTTTATCCGGGATCGCTACTTGAGAACATTGCTCCGATCTCAAAGGAATCGCAGGAACTGGTTAAGCGGCAGGGGAAGTGGAAATTACACCCGCTTGCAACGGACCAAAAGAAAACCCAAAATTCTCAAGAAGATACCGATGAAATTGACTTGGGAAAACCTATGACAGTGGCAGATACGCTGAATTGCGCACTCAAATACTTCGATTGTCGTTTGTTTAATGCGTCGAAGGGCTGGGAATCTGGTGTGACAGTATACTCTACTACTGCCGAGTTCGTGAATAATTCTTTGGAGAAAATGGAGAATGCAAGGCAGGAACAGCAAAGGCAACTGATAAGCAGAAGAAATGTAATTCGAAAAACTGCTGAGCTCAAGGAGAAACATGCAGCACTCGAAGCAGCGATCATTTCTCGCAATTTCATGGACGTCTCTTGTCTACTGGATGATGGGGCGTTTGCAGACTACGAGACGAGTAGCGGAGCCATGTCTGCTCTTATGGCTGCTTGTGTCGAGGAGATGTATGTTGAAAACGAGGACGGAACAGATGTATTAGCTGTAGAATATCTATTAGATCGCACCATGAATCGTCCATTAGTGAACTATGAGAGTTCTGAGGGGCTCACAGCGTTAGGAACAGCAGCATTTTACGGCACGTTGAAGTGTGCTCAAGTGTTGATCGAGCGTGGAGCAAGCATAAACTTTGCAGCACGTTTGAATGGACGTACAGCACTCATGACCGCCGCAGACAATGGGAAAGAAGAGTTTGTTCGCTTCTTGTTGGCAAGCAAAGGAGTTGGCGTGTTCCTGCGAGATAGCAATGGGAAAACAGCCTTGGATTATGCTCGCACTAGCGGATTCGCAGAGATCGCTGGTCTTTTAGAGGCAGCAATGGGTGGCAAACATGAACGAGTAGTGAGTACAGTATCCGGTTTGTATGGTGTATGTAAATGGGGATGCGGCTTTATGACTCAATTCGAAGGTCACCTAGTTCATCAAACTCGGGTTTTGAAGAATACGAACCCTTTACAAGAGCACGAGCTGCATCATTGCCCAAAGCGCCACGTGCCCTGTCCAAATCACTGCGATATCGACAAATTATGGGCTGAAGAGGTGAAAGATCACATTCAAAATACTTGCAAGCTTCGACTTATCAATTGCTCAAACCTGAAATGCACCGTCCGATATCCGTTTAAAGACCGTACAAAACACCTTCAAGACGAATGTGAATTCCGATTAGTTGTATGCGAATGCGGTGAGAGTTTGAGTTTCCAGCGTCACGTGGTGCATGCAAAGACGCAGTGTCTGATGCGACTCGTTCCGTGCCCGTTGCAATGCCTAGAAGCTGATGACACGAAGTCTCAAGTGCTCCAACTTCGGTGGCAGGACGTGAAAGCGCACGTGAGTGGAGACTGCCCTCACCGCAATGTGCGCTGTCGAAATGGTTGCATCATCAATGATTTACTATTGAAGGACCGTGTTCGTCACGAAACTACAGTCTGTACGCTTCGACGTATTGAATGCAAATGGGGCTGCAACGAGACTGTACTTGCCAACACCCAAGCAGTTCACGAGCGAGACGAATGTGAATTGCGTCAACAAAGTTGTCCGAATCGCTGTGGTCACAATAATGTTCCTGTACTGGAGATGGATGAACACATTTCAGTGAAATGCTCTCGTAGATTGGTACAGTGTTCGTTAGGCTGTGGCCGTAGAGTTCCTCTACATACAATGGATACTCACGTAGCTCAAGACTGCCGTAAGCGCACGATAGCGTGTGGACAGTGTCACCAATTGTTGCTAGAGGAAGATCGAACAACTCACCAAAACTCGCAGTGTCCGAATCGACTGACAGTGTGTGGATTGTGCGGACAGACCAATCTATCGCACTCACAAATGGGTCACCATCGGAAAGAAGAGTGCAAAATGCGTCAGGTGACGTGCAAGTACCAGTGTTTTGTGAAAATGCTGGTGGCTCATGAAAAGGAGCGGCATGAAATGTGGGAATGCGCTTTCCGACCCATTTGGTGTCCACTTGGTTGTGGCGCAGTGTTTGTCTGCAACACACTCAAGAAACATCAGCGTTCGTGCACCATGCGCTTTGTTGTTTGTGGAAATGGTTGTGGCGAGGAGCTCCGTGAAAAGGACCGTGCCGACCACGAGCAACATCATTGCAGTCTGAACAAAGTGCAGGGTCAGATTACACGTAAAACGTAGACACCTTCCGGTTGGATTTATCTTACGCAAGTAAAAAAAATAAAAATGTAGAATTTGCGCGGACTCGTTAGTATTTAACTTTTGCTGCCTTGAACTATATATATGAGTGAGACTATATTGCCAAACAGCGCTGAAGTGCTTGCTTGAGCCAGAACTGTGTTGATTTCTAGGCGACCAGTGCCTACCGGGGCTGGAATGCCAACTGATTTGCCTCTGCCCCCAAAAGGCTACTTGCCTCGGATTGGGCCTAACTCCTCCTCCTCCTCGGAACTGTGCTCTGAATCTTCGTCTCTGTTGGACGACAAACTGAAGAAAAGCATGATGATCGTAACTTGCCTCGTACGATGAGGATTTCGAAATGATGCAAAATCAATAATATTATAACTGTCACCGGGAATTTTGTACTCGAGTAAGATTCTTTTCACTTCAAATACGCGTGGAGCTGTTTGGCGGTTCACTCGTGTGTAATGCCTTGTAAATAGCATGCAACGTGCAAGCGTCAGAGCTTCCTGCTCGACCCTCGTTTTCTATCCCAGGATGGAATTTGCGCCCTACAAATGGAGTTACTACGCCATTGTTGCAGCTAAAATAAAACAGAGTAGAGAATGGTGTCGCTGCGGTGATGCAGTCGACCGAATGTGTACCACGTGAACTTCATTTACAAGATGAATAGAACTGACTACCCGCCACCCGCAACACCGGTATCGAGGGTGAAGCCATCTCTGAGCGCGACCGCTGAAAAAACACACATTCACTCCAAAAGTGGGCAGTCTTGAGGTGGGCGTTGACTTCGTGTCCATACTCATACGACTCTTTAACAGAAATAACATGAAGCGGCGATCTCTCCGCGCACGCTTCCGTCCCCCGCCATTCAGCCAGCACTCTCGCTTGTCGACGAAACTGCGTGTCATCGCGAGTAAGCACCAGCAGATTTGCTGCCACAGGCACACGCTTTTTTTTTCGACGTTCTTTGATGTGGAAAACACAGTGAATGTCAGCTTTCGGCCAATCGCAGGTGGATCGGGCTGATTTTCGACCAATCGTCCAGTTTTCTCGTCGATGCAGTGATCGTCACGGCCAAGCACTGGCGCTTCAAGGCGCCCACAGAATTCATGTTCTTTTTCTGTCGGAGCCTTAGTAACACGATCATTCCCATAATACCTGTTTTGTCAAGATACAAAATGTCACAGTCAGATTGGTATGTGGCTCGACAATCAATCACATCAAATTCTGCAGATGCAGCATGCGCTATGCACACGGCCGACAGAGCTCATCAGCTTCAGCGTCGCCCAATGCAGAAGAGTCTCGCTCATTCTCCAACACTTCACTCCAGCCGCACGTGCATTGTCCGCCCTATATTGATCACCACTACACACAGCCAACCACGCAATGCATCCGTCGCTGAACCTCGAGGCCCTGTGGCCATCGCCGCCCAGATGTGCGCTGCCGCCGCGACGCAGTCGCAGCTTGCGCTCCTCTTTGGCTCGCGCAGTGTTCCCACGCGTAATGGAGTTCAAGGTCATCTCGCGTGAGAGCGAGAAGCACGAGTTCATGCCTGTCGTGTACCTCATCGACCGATCTCCCGCCTGGCGTCGCCGCGTACCATCGTTCGTGGAGACGGCAATCGTGGAGGACTATATTACGCCACTCGTAGCCAAGATCCCAGACCCCGCCAATGCCGCCGATATGACGCGAATCTTAGCCGATGTGCGCAAGGAGATGGAGAAACGCGCCAATCTAATTGATGAGA